AATTCACAGTGCACTCAACCAATTGGGAGGAAAGCTGTAGGTGGGGATTGAGCTGGGATTTTTGCTTATGTCAAAACTCGAACAATGGCCAAGTGGCTGGCCAAAATTGAGGCTGACAGCCCTCATAGTAGCCCCATCCCCATCCTCATCTTTGTCCCCATTCAAATCGAAACTGATGGACAGTCAGCCACATGGAGGAGCCAAATCGAGAGGGATGAATAGAATGGTGGTCATGCAGGAAAGCTTTCGGAAATTGAAGCTGGGTCTGCCAGAGGCATCGGCTTCCCAATTCCATTATTTGGATTAGACCAATTGTTGCTTTGAAATCAGCAGCCTCAAACGCATAACGCTTATTGAATGGTTGAAATTATGGTTGATACCCTGAGGAAGGTAGTCCGTATTTGGTAAATTGAGTTAAGAATGGCAGAACCGAATCTTTGAAATTAGCTAAATTGAAAAGATAAATTGTAGATGATACCCTTAGCAAGCTGAATCATGAATGAATTAGGAACAAAAGGTCCGTTTATTTGATATAAGCCTTATGAAAAACATACATTTGACTCTTCTGAATAATCATATTATGAATAACTAGGTAGTCTGTGTATTCCATTTATTTAGACTATTTAATGAATAAATTAGCCAAAGCTACTTAATCTTTTTGAATTAACCTGTCCAAAACTAGTTTTTAATGATATATTAAATGTTTCATAATGTTAAGTAAGCAATTTAAAAATTAACTGCAATTGCAGAATTGCAAAATCAAAGAAGGTTTTTACAGTTCTAAAATAAAAAATTGTTGTAAGCAAAATAACAACAAATAATTTAATAAAAAGCGAAGACACCAAATGATTTTCTTAAGATAAAATAAACATCCACTAAATTGGTTTTTAAAAGCTTACAACATTTAAACTAAATATTAGATTTAATTGTATATTTCTCAAATAAAATTAGCACAACATTTTTATATAAGAATGCCTTTAAGACTTAGAGCATATTTTCCAAAATTAATTCCAATATTGCGCCAAACTAAAACCGGCCAAAGTTGCCAATCTACGGGGGTCAAAGTTGGCAAACGCAAAGTAATTTGAAAAGTACACAACATTGGGCAACTGGAGCAGCTGCTGCTAGCTGCTTGCTGCTGCCAACTGCTATTAACAGTAAATGACTGGCCTAATTTATGCACCTTGGTCCGACGGTTCCACGGTACACACACACACACACTACACATGTTGAGGGGGAATTACAATTGTATTGCAGTCAACATTTCCATTGCCATTTCCATTTTTGGCAAGGGGATTTGGTTGCGGGGGGGAGTTGGGCATGGGCAAACAGGACACGCCGCAATGCCGTAACTTGATGGAATAGCTAAGCCGAAAACCAGACTAGAACTCAACCGAAGCCCAAGCCCAAACTACTGATGATTCGCCCCCTTTTCCAACATTCATCTATCTGCGACTACGGGGGAAATTGCTTTACACAATCGAAACGCACGAAATGAAAATATAAATCGAGGGGCGGAACTAATTTTGGCAAAAGACTCGAAATAGGCCGGGCACGACCACAAAAACCGGAATGATGATACTTGAAGGGGTGGCTCTGCTGGTTTTCATACGGGGAGCAATTTCAGCTGGTGCTAGTCCCACAACTACGTCTGAATTGGCCAAAATTAACGCAACGAGTAGAAAACTTTTTGTATACGGAAATTGCGTAACTACGCATTAATGAAGAAAAATTGCACCAGCACCATGGTGGAGGGAAAACTAACGCCCCTTTGAAAAAACGTGGGGGAAAAGTTCCCGAAATTGGACGACACTTTAGCCATAAAAGGCCTCTGATTTATGCCAATTGAAGCTCGTCCAGGTAAACTGCCTCATAATGAAGTGAAGTTCTGAAATGAATCCGCTGCCAGAGGGTGATTATAGTAGTTAAATGGGTGGTAGCCAGCTTTGATCATCATCATCGCCATCTAATCATTTGTTATTCGCAGACCTGTGTTCTCTCTCTCTGCCTTCCGCAAATTCTTTTATGGCCATCATTAAATCTCTGACCGGACAAATGGAGACATCTTTCATTTACGGCTTTGGCCAACTACTATAATCATCGTCCATCATCTGTTGCCTAATTAATTGTAAAGTTTTTCCCAGTCTTACTTTGAAATCTTTTGCGCCCATTAATATTGTCGCAGATGTCTTAATTGCCGGGACATCGGGTCGAATGATTAATATATCAAAGTTTTGCACTTGCAACTGCACAAGGGAAACGGCTTGATATTTGTTGGTTTTAAATGTGAAATGTATTATACTTTTTGTAATTTTTATGAAACGAGCTAAGTAGATAAAAAACGTACAGTTCTAAGTCCATAACTTTTCTTTCAAGAATCCAATTATGAAGTGGTATATCTTTAAAGTCTTCTAGCCTAGTTCTCTAAAAATCTGCGTTTAAAACTTGGTTTGTAATTTCGGGTCGATTTTTTGTCATTTTTATGATGTAACCCCTTTCTAAATATCCGAAAAAAATCGTATTTGCAGAAAAGTGACCAAAAACCTGCAGTGTTAAATCCATAACTTTTCTTTCACGCATCCGATTTCAAAGTTTCATATCTTTAAAGTCTTGTGGCTTAAGCCTCTAAAAATTTGCATTTAAATTTTGCTGAAAAATATTGGGTTTCTAATTTTTTGACATATCTTCTTAATTAGTTTCCAAAAAAATCATTGTAAAAAAGTTACCAAAAATCTGAAGTTTTAATTCCACAACTTTTCTTGCAAACGTCCGATTTCAAAATGGTATATCTTTAAAGAATTGGGGCTTCAGTCACTAAAACTCTGCGTTAAAAAATTAGTTTGTAATTTCGGGTCGATTTTTTGTCATTTTTATGATGTAACCCCTTTCTAAATCTCCGAAAATATCATCTTTGCAGAAACGTGACAAAAAACCTGCAGTTCTAAATTCATAACTTTTCTTTCACGCATCCGATTTCAAAGTTGTATATCTTTAAAGCCTTGTCGCTTAAGCCTCTTAAAATTTGCATTTAAATTTTGTTTTAAAATATTGGTTGTTCTATTTTTTGACATATTTTCTTAATTATTTCCAAAAAAATCACTGTAAAAAAGTTTCCAAAAACCCGCAGTTTTAATTCCATAACTTTTCTTGCGAACATCCGATTTCAAAATGGCATATCTTTAAAGTATTGGGGCTTCAGTCTCTAAAACTCTGCATTTAAGGATTGGTTTGCAATTTCGGGTCGATTTTTAGGCATTTTTATGGTGTTACCCCTTTCTAAATATCCGAAAAAAATCGTATTTGCAGAAAAGTGACCAAAAACTTGCAGTTTTAAATCCATAACTTTTCTTTCACGCATCCGATTTCAAAGTTTCATATCTTTAAAGTCTTGTGGCTTAAGACTCTAAAAATTTGCAGTTAAATTTTTTTTTTAAAATATTGGGTTTCTTATTTTTTGACATATCTTTATAATTAATTAAAAAAAAAATCATTGTAAAAAAGTTACCAAAAACCTGAAGTTTTAATTCCATAATTTTTTTTGCAAACGTCCGATTTCGAAATGGCATATCTTTAAAGAATTGGGGCTTCAGTCTCTAAAACTCTGCGTTTAAAGATTGGTTTGTAATTTCCGGTCGTTTTTTGGTCTTTTTTATGATGTAACCTCTTTATAAATATCCGAAAAAATTTCTTTCGCGCATCCGATTTCAAAGTTGTTTATTTCCTCAAGAGGGTCACAAAAACAAGCCCAAAACCAATTTCCATTCCTATCTGGAGTGGATAAAGATTTAAATTCATGAAATTAGTTTTAATAATATTAATAATATCATCACTTGGCAGCAGCCAGCAATTTTGGAATGGGAATGGCTAAGAACAAGGCTGTTACTGCGACGCCATAAGCCGGCTTTGGTTTTGGCTTTCGACTTTGGTTCTGGCTTGGCTTTAGCATTTTTGGTCATAGTTCAACGCTTGCTGGGAATTCGCACAAAGGCGTCAAGGCAACTCGGATCCCCGCCATCTCCTTAACCATACCATCATCATCATCGTCATCATCATCCAGATGGGGGCTTATGCCCATTGTTTGCACTGTGTTGCCAGTGGAAACCATCACCAACATTATGCAGAAGGCTTCGGGGCTAAGATCTGGCCACAAGTTATAAAACTGTGCCCACCCAAAACTTCCCCTCGTCCATTCATCTAACAAATTTCTCTCTCTTTGTTTAAATTTTGCGCGCCGGAAATTTGCTTATCGCCGCTTTTCAGTTGTGGCTCTTGATTCCCAGTATAAAACGGGGGCTCGGGGCTCGGGGCTCGGGGCACCCATGTTTTCAGAGGGGGGTGCTCCAAAGTCAATAGGGAGATTAGTGCGGCAGGCATTGAGCCGGCACAGAGCTGTGCTAATTGAGCGACCGGTCATGGCAACAGCTTAAATCAATAGAACCAACTCGGATTTATTCAATATGCGCCAAAAATGAAAGAGAAACTTTATAGTGGTTTATGCGGCAGTTAAATAAATGATTAGCATTGCACCCCATCGAATTGTGCAGGTTTTAAGGTTGAAAATATAATATTTATAGACAGGCATAAATAGAATTTGCTCCAGAAAAAAATAAAGGAATTAGTAAAACTCTGCTGCAATTTTTTATAAATTTATAAATTTCCTGACAGCTTATATTCATAAAATCAATTTGTATTTAACCGAAATGCTTTTTTCAGGTTACTTTTCTGAACAAATATTTTTACATTATTCAAATTTTCTAGAAAATCGGTCACAAATTACTAAATTACATTTAAACGCAGAGTTTTAGAAATTTAAACCACGAATCTTAAAAGACTTTTAAAAAACAAATATCAGTAACGAAAGTTATGGTCTTAGTAGTGCTGGTTGGAATAAAAACTCTAAATAACCATTTCAAAAGCACGAAAAGGGGTTATATGATTAAAATATTGCATAAATAACTTTGCTTAAGGTTTAAAGCAAGTAAGGAAAAAACATTTTAAAATTCTTGTTTTTTTAATAATCTTTTATTTATTTAATATTCCAGTTGTTTGGTTTAATTCACAATATAAACACAATTCCTACAAGATCCCCAGTCCGAGACCTGGCTTCCTGCCGGGACTACCACCTCCTCCTCCTCCGCCAAGGTTCCCCAATCCCAGGGTGTTGCCCACTCCGCCCAAAGTCTGGCCCAATCCTCCGCCCAGTTGCCCCAGAAGATTACCCAGTCCCGCACAACTGGTAGAACTCAGCGGAGACAATGAGGCACCCAAAACGGACAATTCACAGAAGCGGAAGTCATTGGAGGTCTCCAGCTTGGTATCGATCTTAATGAAAGGCGTGGCTTTGCCAGTGACACTCTGGAAAAGTGATGAACCTTTGCTACCCTCGGCTTTGTCTCTATTGGCGAATTTTACCAAAAGATCGATGAGGTTATTGCGAACTTTAATATGCTCGGCATCTGTCAATCGTGTTTCCTCCAAGGGATTACCGAAAATATCATTTGCATCAAACATATAGCCAATCTCATCGCCATGACCCACTGTTTCTGGCTTATCGTTAGCTGTTTCTGAGACAATTGGTAGACCTCTCAGAAAATTGATACCCTTCGATTTGGTGCCATTATACTCGAAGCTGTACATAAAAGCTGGAGCTATTTTAGACCAAACTTGGGTGGTCAGAACAGCTGGTAAATTGAATAGAACATCAGTTGTGGACTCCACTACTTTGGACAGAACTTGATCCACATTTAGCGCCTGGGGAACTTTCCACACATCCTGAAGCGTGGGAGTTAATACACTCGTTAAGCCTGGTAGTTCCGGTTTTGCAATCTGCCCTGTTAACTTATCGATTTTCAGGAAGGCAGTTAACTTGTTCAGCGAATCACTGAGGGATCCCAAGAACTTTTCCGCCGATCCAAAGACCTTTTCTATATTTTCCACCGTCACAGAGTTGGCCGTCTCGTGTTTGGCAACTCCAGTTAGCAGGGGAATTCCCGAGAAATTGCTACTTTTGAGCTGCTGCTCAGGTTCTCCAACTATCAAACTGGGCAGGGCTCTGCCATCATCCTCGCTTTCGATGTGCGGCTGGAAACCCACATTTCCAGTCAGTCCTTTGACCAAAGCACGTCCTGCTAAACGCTCAGTTTGCACTTTATCATCGTTCTTGATGATCTCCTCGGCACTTTTCTGAAAGGTGTAAAAATAGCCCTAGTTAGTACATACATTTTTTCAATCAAAACTCTTTATACTCCATAAATAAAATCTTTAAACTGTCTAAAGCATTTTTAAATAATCTTTAGTTTTCTGGCAAAAATATGTTTTATTAAAATTAACATACTACTCACCCCCCTCATGCAGTTGACGATCTCGAGTTCATTTCCCGTGGGACAGCCATTGATTTTGGCCACCTCCTGGACACTCTGAACGGGTTCCTTGTCCATGGCATATTGAGAAAGGGCTGTTCCCGACATGGCCACCACTCCGTGGACATCGCCGGCACTCTTGGCCGTCTGGGACATGGAAAGATACATGGCACTGGCTGCTCCCGATCCGTGACCAATGGCCTGAACCTGTTTGGGGTTGCCTCCGAAGTACTGGATGTAATCGGTGACCCAGCGGAGGGCAGCGGCCAGGTCAAACATGGCCAGATTTCCATCGAACTGCTTGGTGCCATCGCCCATGATGCCCAGCGAACCCAGTCGGTATTGTGGGGCCACCACAATGGCGCCCCTTTGGGCCATGGGCGTGGCATCGTACTGGTTAGCCGATCCATATCGATAGCCACCCGGATGGATCCAAACGAAAACCGGAAGCCCCGTACTTTCATCCGGCATTTGTGGCGTATAGACATTCAGTAGCAAACAGTCCTCATCGCCAATAATTCGCTGTGGAAACTGCGGATGCGGTTGTATACAAGGTGGTCCATGTTTTGTGGCATTGAAGTCACCACCCAATCTTTTGTACACCGGTCTGGAGTATCTCAAAGGTCCCAATGGAGGTTCAGCATAGTGCATTCCCAGGAAACTATATATTCCGGTATTGGGATTTCGAATACCCTCCACTCGAGCATCGCGATTGAAGAGACGGGCGAAAATCACAGGATCATCGACTGGCGGAGCCTTCGATTGCTTGCCACCCACTATGCGTTTCACTCGAACATGCGATTCTCCACTCGAATTGCCACTCACGAAGGTCACCATCAAGAGTAGCAACCAAAAGTTCCGCTTCAGCTGCTTTTGCATTTCGCTACGTTCGATTGTCAACTGAGAACTGAGCACCAACTGGCATTATAATCCGCAAAGCCCCGGCTCAAAAGTTGCTCAGCTTGGCGATAAACAAGTGGAATAAAATAAGCGAATAAGTGAACACGAAAAAAATCATCGCAAATGATAATACTATATAAACAAAAAACAAAACGAGAAGCGAAAACTTAAACTTTTGCGGCCGCCTTGTTTGCGTGCCTCCAGTACGATATTGGATAAGACCATGTTTGGGCAGAGCTTCACTGTTTCTCCGGCATTCTAATCACGTACTCCACGCCAGTTGAAGTTCACTGAGTCACTGGCAATCTGAAATTAGCTGGCGGATTTTCGGATAACTTTTCAGCGAGCAAACATTCAGTAAAGCCGCAGGCAACAAGCTTCAAATTATAAGAATTCAAGGACAATGTTTGCGGTCAAAATATAAGTTTGATGCTTATTTGATCTGAAGATAAGTTTTGGGACAACATCAAATCATTAATTTTTATAACTTCAATATAATCGAATGCCGCTTAAAACAATTTAAAACTATCAATGGACATTGCTTTAATTATATTTATGTATTTATATATATAATTTTATATTTAAAATAAATATTATACCTAATTTAATAACCATGGAACACAATGAATTTCAAAATTTTTCATTTTTAAAAATTACTGAATAAATATTTATGCTTTATTAGCCAAAATATGTGAAAGTAAGAACCTAAAACTTAAATACTAACTAACTTAATTCATTTATCGTTTATCATTACATTGCTAACTCTTAAATATAAATAAATTGAAATAAACAAAGACATCTGCCTATTTTCTTTGAATCCAAAAACCCGTTTTGCAATTAAAATTTGATTTCCCGTTTTAAACTGTTCAACATCACTCGTAACATATGTGATTATTTCTGAGATTGATGTCTCTGCTCATCACTTGATTTGAATGCAGGCAATTAAATCGGAGACAATTTGTTGCATTACGTTATTATTTCATTGGATACGTGAGATTTCTAGCCTATAATCAGCCTCTCAATAAAACTGGTCAGTTGGGTTTTTCCCATCACATTGTTGATGTTTCTGATGTTGCTGCTGTTCGCTGAAATTCAGTTGCCTGAACAAAATAATAATGAGAACTTAAAGCCCACAGCGGTCATTGTCTGTAAATGTAGTTGGTAAGTTGGGAATGCTAGAGGCTGCATATGAATCCGTAGTGCCATATTTTACAGCTGTGCGGCATTATCTTTTGCCCAGATGAATTATATTCTTCAGCATATTTACAGGCCGGATGCTGGCAAATATCATGGGGCAAACGCAAGTTTTGAATTCAAGTTCCTTGACCCATCCCCATGTGAAAAGTCAGGGGAGGACTTGGGTTTTGTCCGGGGATTAGACCGAGAAACGACGGAGTGGCACGCGTTGCCCAACTGGCAGTACTCTGCCACATGAATCTCAATGCTGTTGCCCAGCCAGTCGGCCACGTACGGCAGCTGATTTGTACCAGTCTCGGTTCCAGTCTGTTCCCCTCATTATAACACTAAAAAAATTCATTTTTAAGTTTAAGCACAAATTCAGATCTCTATAACCCTAACTACAACTTTTTAGTTAAGTTTTATATACAGAACAAAACAGAATTAAGAATACAAAAAATATTACTATTGCTTTATATGAATAAATAAATAGGCAGCTATTAATACTTATAAATATACTTAACCCTATTAATTCAATATATTTTTGTGAGGCAAATTAAGCCCAGTGTTATTATAACTCCACAAATTTCTCCACGTGTAATTCCAAACGCTTTTGGCTCTTTCATGTGTTGCAGACAATGGCCAAATGACATTTAAAGTTACGACAATATAATTAAGTATACTACTGGGAGTTGACGCCATCCGAAGTCGAAGGAGGAGCAAAAGCATAAGATACAGAAGCTTGGGCCAGCAGCCATTGACCATGGAATAATTATATATGTATGAGGAGTGGCAGCTCCAGGACCTTCTCATCCTTGCCTCTTTGCCTGATTGCCTCGAGATGAGGCGTGCAACACTCTTGCAGCACGCAAAGTTTGGATCCCAGACCCACTTTTCCAGACTCACTCGGCCAACTCACTTGGCACGCCTCGGCATTTAACGAGATTAATCTTTTTTGCCCGACTATCTCAATCCAAACTGTCCCTGCCAGAGAGAAGTCCTTAAAAAGTTATTAATCTTCGGGCTATCGAGTAAATATTTAGCTTTTAATTGAGTTTAAAATGCACCATCAAAGTGATTTGCATAAAACTTGGCATTGTTGAGAAGGCAATCTAAGAAGCGTTTGATTCACTGCCGGCATGTTAAACTATACTATACACACAATGTAAGACAAAGCCCGGAAATATAAAAGTCAATTATTTTATGCTAGATTGGATTTTAATTTCATTTAAGGATAGACATGACCTCACACTCTGCTCAGGCGAATATTTTCATATGAAAATTGAAAACAATAACCCTTTTTTAATTGGCTAAGCTAAAGAATAAAATCCATAAATAATACAGCAGGGAAATACAAGCACATTTAACATTTTGTACACATATTTCATTCTAAGTAATGAATTTTAACTAACGAATGACAAAGTAGAAGCTTATAAGTAAAGTTACTTACTTAATATTAAATTGTTAACTGATTTCATTTAGTTTTTCGAAATTATATTAATTATTTCCATTATTTGACTGTAACTACAGAACTACTGTTCAGCTTAAATTCATTTAAAGTTCTCTAGTCCATGCACCAGTTTATTTCTTTGATATTTCATATTAATTAATACCAAACATTTCATTTCATCATTACTCTTCGGTGCTCGAAGCTTGAATTAATTATCATGCTTATCATTTATCCAACAAACACACTTTCCCAGCCTAATTTATCTCTATTTTCGTTGCTTTATGTTGGTGTGCCACACGCAACGCACTAGGATTTTTCCAGCTGCCCCTGTACTTTCCCCCACTTTTCCTTGTATTGCGTGTGCCACGCCCATAAGTGCGTGGGAGGCGTTCGTGGAAATTAGAGGCAGCTTCCCAGCTGCTGCTGATGCGATTTTGATGTGCAAAATATTAATTATAAAACAATAATTGAATTGTGCTCTTGCTCTTGGCAGTTGAGTGAGCGTCGAAAGGTGAGCGATTTTCCTCTCCCCAAAAAAAGAAAATCTACCACACGCACACGCTAAAAGTTCATTATGCTAGAAAAAATTTTTCTTTGGCATCTGTTGGTATTATGTTGGAGGAAAACAAATTAGTTTGCCATGATTGCAGTTTAATAGGATAACACAAAAGTTTCATAAGTGGAATTAATCAGGTGGCTAAGCGGGATGTCGTTTGCGAAAAAATAAATTAATTACTTTGAGAATTGTTAAACATTTATTTCAGAAAATTTATTAAATATTAAGGCATCCTTCGATGTCCTACAAAACCATTATAATATATAGTGTTAACTTTTCCTTAATTATATCCATCGATTTCCTACAAAAGCATTAAAAAACTGTACCATTAATCGTCTCACAACTTTCCCCATTTGAATTTACATTTTTTGTAAGCTGCGTGCAATCTTTATATTATTTTCCGACCCTGCAGCTGGCATGTTTTCGTCCCCAGTCAACTATAAAAGGGCACAAGAGCGTAAATAATAAAACAAAAGTATATGTACATAATAATAAATAAATATGAAAATATTACATCAAATGGACGACCCATTCCGCTTGACAAAGAAAACAATATACGAATGTGAGGCCACGGGAATAAAAAAAATAAAGAGAAGAATCGAAAACAAAACAAAGTTAAACCCAATACATTAATGGTATTTGCATTTGTACTGATTTTATTTGGTTTTTATTGAATTGATAAAATCACAACGAACAGGAGAAACTCGTCCTTGCTCTCGTCCTGTTTTTCCCCCTCTTTTTTCCGCCCCCCATTTTCCGCTCCCCCCAACTGCCAATTTGATATTCTGATTGCAATTTATGTGCGCCCCCAAACACTCACACTTTTGTATGATTACACACACACTCACACACTTGTAAGCCTGTAAGCTTGTGCGTGTGTATGTTTCTGTGTGGGGAAGCTTCACTGTGATTCTTTTTTACCCCCCTCTCGCCATCAGTTGTAGCTTTGTGTTTAAACATCTGCAATATGCTGCGTGTTCCGGGTAGCTGAAATGGCATGGAATGGGGCGAAAATGTTTTGGGATCAGACTGCAGTCGGTTCTTGAGGGAAGGATGGGTTTTTTTTTGGGGGCAACTCCTGACGGTTGCTGGGCGTTCGTGTGTGTGCGACTCCTGACATTCAGTTGTATCTGTATTTAAGATGAAGTCGTGATTTCATTTAAAATAACACCCAGAATTTAATATTTAGCAAACTGAACTAGGGAAATTTTAAACTTAATACAAGTTTCTCGTCTACCTCCAAAAAAGTTATAAGCATCAACACTTCCGAATATTAGAAAATGTGTTAAAGATTTATTGTTTGGAATTGAGAAGTTTGATCATTTATGAGATATCAAGTATTCAACTATTTTAATTCGGAGCGTTTTGAATAAATATTTTAAGTAACTGATTTGTCATAAATTAAAATAATTTATAAATTTTCGTCCAATTACTTTGATGAAGACAAAAAATGTTTTTAAATTGCTTAATATTTTGAATGCTTATTTTGATCTAGTTTCTCACGCTGCCATCGCCAGAATGCTGGTTCCATATGTAGACGCGTGTTTATTTGGCACCACAAATGCGTTTCCTTTTTGGCGGATGGGAGTGGGTTTAGGGTGGTTTGGTGGGTCCAGTGGGTGGTTCAGTGGATGGTTAAGTTGGGTTTTCGGGTTGGTTTGGCTCGGTTTGGTTTGCTTTGGTTGGGCTGCCTGGCGTTGCGTTTCGTTCGGTTGGATTTCGTTTGGTCTGTGGCAGCAACGTCAGCGGCGCTGCGGTTGTCGCTTAATGGAATTCCGTTCTTGCATTAAATGTGACACACAGAGGGAAGCTGCCAATCGGAATGCCACCC